CTGATCAAGGGCGAATAGAAAAAAATAAAGAAGAAATCCTTAAAGCCTTCCAAGATTCTCCGTCAGCGGTTGTCTTATTTGTGTGGTCAAATATCAACGGACGTGTGCAGACCAATGATGCCATAGCGTTCGACGCCCTCAGTCAAGCCATCGAATTTCCACGTGGATCGCTCATGTTTGTCGTGAATGATATACCTGTAAGAAGAGAAGCTGATTATGAAGCAAAATTTGTAGTCAGGATAAGAGACATGTTGAAAGAAATGCCAGTTACACTGAAAGATATATTTTTTATTGATCACATGGAACCTGAAGAAAAAGACAAGATCAAACAAACTCGTTCAAAGCTAATAGCCTTTATCGAGGCACACGAAGTAAAGATTCAAAAGATTATAGGTCCTATAATTCTTCTCGCAGATCAATTGCGTGCATTACAGCAAAAACTCAAGGAACAAAGTGAAGCGGCTGAAAAAGACAAGGCAGGCTTTCAAAATCAGATTCGAATCATGGCAGAAAAACTCAAGGTAGTAGAGGATCGTGGTCCTTTGGAAATTATTGGGCGAAGCATAGATAAATTCTTCTCAAATCTTTTTTAACCGATTAAACCGACATCAAAAGCAGGAAACTTTTTATGACACTTTTTTTGAGAAATTTAAATGAAAAACACCACTTTATCCTTTTAACCCATCGAGCACGGCATTAAATTTAATCAAAAAATATATTTTAACCTTTTTATGTTATTCTAATTCGAAAGAGTTACATAAAAATTTTATAATAATCAAAAATAAATGCGGAAACATCAAATTGGTGTAGATGTGTGGGTGTGGAAATGGATGTGAATGTGAGTGTGGACATGGGCGTGAGTTTTTTTATTACCTGAACTGTGGACACGGCTCCAGCACCCACCCATCCTCATCGAGGGCAGGTGTGGGGTGTGGGTGTGAGGTGGGTGATGGGCGTGGGTTGTGGGTGCGGGTGTTGGGTGGGTGCGGGTGTCGGGTGGGCGTGGGTGTAAATCTCTTAACAGAAACCCACTCTCCCACATACACCCACACCCTTCCACACCCACATCCTTCCACACCCACACCCACACCTATGTATTTTGTCCTCACAGATAGTCATGGTAGATATGTACCATCGACCATTACTACACCATCCTATTAAATAATAGTGAAAGCCATTTCTGGCCTTAAATGGATAGATAATTATAATTCTAACTTATCAGCTTTAACATTATTATCCACAACTACTCTTGATTCACATCTTTCATCAACAACAGCATTAATGTTATTAACAGGTACGAATTCCGTTCGCTGTACGCCAGCTTCCACGATAATTATCCAAATCAACACTGTCATCAACTTCTTACGTTCACGTTATCTTCATTTATCGGATAAACATTGTATTAATATCGTACCTTGCTTTCCATGTTTTAAACCATTCTATCCATTAAATACATATGATTCTCTATTAGATAATTTTGCTCAATATAATGCTCTATTATTTGATTTATCTATTGCTTTAAATTTCACCATCGTTGATTTCCATGTTATGGATCATCACATCGGGGTCGATCGAATGCATCTTGACTTCAAATATACTAGTCTCGTAAAAAATTCTATTATCCATTATTTTGAATATTTATCATCAACATTAGCACCATCACTTATCAAACTTCCTGGTCGGTCCAAAGAGGCTGAAGCTCGTCACAACAAACGACGACATATTAAACTTCCTCTTAAACAACAACAATTTTATTTAACTCGTTCTATTACATCTTTATGGTCATTCAAATCTATCAAAAATTATTTACATCAACAAAAATTAAAACTCCAAAAAATACCTCCTATTTATCGAACAACTCTTCGTTTTCAGTTTAATGACCATGTCGATCTTCAAACAGCAGAAGGGGCTTTGCCTCAAGACGCATTTTCTCAACAATCTTATTCCTAAAACTCAATATGAAGCTCGTGTCTTTTCTGTGATTTAGTTATTATAAACTGTAAGTGTATGTAACTCTTCCTATGAATTTCTATCTTCTACCCTCTGTCCCTCTTTCTTTTCCTTGGCTTAAAGTGCTGCAGATCCATGCCGACATAATTTGCAGGCGGGAGAAATTAACTGTACACTTTTTCCAAAAGGTAAAAGATCATAATATAAAGACTTTTCTTTTCTTTTCTTTTGTTTCTTTATCCTATGCGCCATCTCCATTTATACATCCTTCTCCTGTACCTTTTCTTTCGGTTAACATGTTTTCTGTCCATGCCGACATAATTTGCAGGCAGGAGAATTCGGGAATTCACATTTCCGCAAGGTAAAGGTCAAAGTATATAAAACTTCTTCCTTTTTTGAATTGTCCTCAGTTATACTCCTTGATTTCTTTCTCATCTCTCACTTCATCTTTGGGTGTATCTAGTTAGCTTTTGTTCAAGCCGACACTCAGGTGCAGGCAGAAGTTCCCAAAAGTTCTCTTTTTTTGCCCAAACGGTGAAGGTGTTAGCGTCAACAGATATTACATAGTTGCCGCTAACTTTTCTCATTTCTTTTCGTTCTCCTTTACGTAACCTATGTGAGGTTCGATATTTCCTCGACATATACATATATGTCCATATTATTATTATTATTATTTTTCTTTTTTTCTTTTTTCTCTTTCTCTCTCTCCCGTTAAAATATGAACAAGTC